AACATTGTGGGGACCACATCAGTGGGGTCCATATCAGTGTTCTTTACACTCCCCCTCAAGTTGGGAATAGATATTTGTCATTCCCAACTTGCATAGATCTGCCTCTAACTTCTTCCTTGGAACAGCCTTGGTGAGAAGATCTGCAAGCTGCATGGTGGAGGTGATATACGGAAGATACACTTCTTGAGATGAAACCCTTTCTCTAACAAAATGTCGGTCTACTTCAATATTCTTAGTTCTGTCATGCTGTACCGGATTATGAGCTATATTAATAGCAGCCTGATTATCACAATACAACATTAAGGGCTTCTCATAATCAATACCCAACTTCTCAAATAGTGATTTCAACCATAGGATTTCAGCCACACCATTAGCCATGGACCTGTATTCAGCTTCTGCACTAGAACGAGAAACAACACTTTGCTTCTTACTCTTCCAGGAGACCAGGTTACCTCCTACAAAAGCACAATATCTAGAGGTAGACCTTCTATCATCAATACTCCCAGCCCAATCAGCATCTGTATAAACCTCTATCTTCATGTGATTATTATTCTGTATACCTTTACCTGGGCACCTCTTCAAATATGCTAATATCCTCTCAACTGCAAGTAAGTGAGTAGTCCTAGGAGAGTGCATATATTGACTAACAACGTTGACCGCATAACTGATGTCCGGTCGTGTGAGACAAAGATAGAGGAGTTTTCCAACTAACCGCTAGAACATAGCTTTATCTTCAAGTGGCTCTCCACTCTTTGCACTGATCTTGTGATTTTGTTCAATAGGTGTATCCACAAGCTTAACACCTAACTTTTTAGTTTCTTCCAACAAATCTAGAACATACTTTCCTTGGGAAACAAAAATCCCATCTTTAGATCTAACTACCTCAATGCCCAAGAAGTATCGTAGTTCTCCCAGATCTTTCACCTCAAATTCTTGATGAAGGAGTTGTTTGAGAGACTCAATCTCACCATTATCATTCCTTGTCACTACAATATCATCCACGTATACAGCAAGGTCAAGGAAGAGTTCACTCTCTTAATGAACAATGTATGGTCTGACTGGGCCTTTACACAACTGAACCTTTCAAGGGCTTGTTTGAATTTATCAAACCAAGCTCTGGGGGACTATTTTAGTCCATACAAAGCTTTATTCAACCGGCAAACCTTCTTTCCTGTGTCTGCATCATAAAATCCAGGAGGCAACTGCATGTAGACTTCTTCCTACAAGTCTTCATTAAGGAAGGCATTTTTGACATTCATCTGGAACAAGGGCCAAGAGTAACTGGCTGCAAGGGACAATAAAACCCTAATAGTGGTCATCTTTGCTACTGGAGCAAAAGTCTCCAAGTAGTCTATACCATAAGTCTGAGTAAATCCCTTTGCAACTAACCTAGCCTTATACCTTTCAATGGAACCATTAGCGTTATGTTTCATAGTAAATACCCATCTACATCCAACCAGTTTCTTCCCTTTAGGTTGGTCAACTAGCTCCCAAGTATTATTCCTTAGAAGAGCATCCATTTCAACCTTCATACCATCTTTCCACTCAGGAACTGACAAGGCCTCTTGCACTATTCTGGGGATTTGAATATCAGCAATAGATGTGAGGAAGGACCTGTAAGAGGGGGACAAGTGATCATAGGACAAGAATTGGGAAATGCAGTGGGCTGTGGATGTGGTGCAATGCCGTTTGCCTTTACGGATTGCAATGGGGAGGTCAAGGTCATCCAAAGGAGGTAAGGGCTCAACAGTGGAAGGTATTTCAGTGGGAACCCGGATTTGATAAAGGAACTGTAGTACTTGGATCTGGATCCGCAGAAGGAACTAGGGCTAGCTTGGACTACTGATGACCGAAATCAACCAGCTTCCACCGCCTGTGGTAGACTCTCAAATCCCGACACCTCTGACACCCCTCCCCATTACATCCCTCGTCACTCAATGGAACAGGTAAAGGAACTTCTGATGAGTTAACCCCACGCTCACTACTCTCCCCTTGAGGAGAAACCCCAGGATAATAGGGTACATCCTCGAAGAAAGTAACATCCATAGAGACAAATCTTTTCCTAGAAGTGGGTTCATAGCAGCAATATCCCTTTTGAGTTTGTGTATAACCGAAAAAAATACATTTGGAAGCCTTAGGATCAAATTTAGAACGATGAGGTCTAAGAATCTGAACAAAGCAAGTACAATCAAAGGTTTTAAGGGGAACAGTAAACAAGTCTTTATCAGGGTATAGGAGGGTAAATGGAGGCTTCATGTCAAGAACCCTTGAAGGAACTCGGTTAATGAGATGCACTACTGTAAGAATAGCATCTCCCCAAAAACAAATAGGCACATTGGAGTTAAACATGATGCTTCTAGTCACCTCCAATATGTGCCTATTCTTCCTCTCAACAACCCTATTCTGCTGTGGTGTATGAGGACAAGTACTTTGGTGGATAATCCCATGGTCAAGCAAATAGGAGGCTAACTGGTTAGCAAAGTATTCTTTTGCATTATCGGATTTGGAGATTTTGATTTTGACCCCAAGTTGGGTTAAAATCATCTGATGAAAGATCCGGGTCGAAGTAGGAACCTCATCTTGAGAACTCATAAGGTAAGCCCAAGAAAACTGGGTATAGTCATCAACTAACAACAAGAAATATCTGTGCCCCCCATAGCAGTGATGTGATAAGGACCCCAAACATTGGTATGCACAATATCAAAAGGATTATTACTTATTTTATTACTCAGTGAATAAGATGTTTTACAATGCTTTGCAAGCTCACAACTCTCACATCTCAAATTGGACATCTGAACAAACTCAAATAAATCAGGAAACAAACTCTTCAAAGACCGGAAAGATAAATGACCCAACCGATTATGCCAAAGCATAACCTGACTAACAGATTGAGAAACAAAAGACTTCCTATCTTCCCAATGTGAAATCTCTCCAAGCAGATAGATCCCATTCGTCTCACGGCCAGTCCCAATCACCTTCCTTGTCTCCAAGTCTTGAAAAACACATTGGTCAGGGAAAAAGGTTACTGAACAATTTTGATGTTTTGTAATGCTATTGACTGAAAGCAAATTAGTATTAAGCTTAGGAACATGCAAAACTGAAGATAAGGATATGGCATTAGACAACTTGATGTCTCCCTTTCCAAAAATGGGAACAAGGGAACCATCAGTGATGAACACCTTATCTCTGCCAGAAGATAAGTGATAGGTAGTGAACAATAATGGCAAGCCAGTCATATGGTCAGATGCACCTGAGTCTATTACCTAACAAGGTTTAGTGTTACCTGGAGCTGAATCATTATAAGCTGAGGCCCGAGTACCTGAATGAGCAAAAGCTGATGTGGGAGATGATGGTGGCTGAGATGATTGAGCTGAATTGCCAACTTCCTTTTCCAACTGAGTCAAGGCAGCCCGGACAGCAGCTAGGGTGTCTAGGAGTGTGCCTTTTGTGCCCAATGAGGAGGCACAATTAGTATTAACAGGCATATTAGCATTACCCCTTTTGTTCCTGAGTTTTGCTGGGACTAAATGAGGGTGCAGCTTCCAACAGGTGTCTTTAGTATGCTTGGGTTTCTTGCAATGTTCATATTACTAGATCCCGCTTGTCTTCCATCTTTATATCCCTCTTTGTATCACCCCCGGACTTATGTTTGACTGCTGCCAAGGCTGGTGGGAAGGGCTGATGTTGCATCATAACCTTTCTCCTAGTCTCTTCATTGTGCACTAAGGAGTAGGCTTGTGATAGGGTCACACTGTCCCTTGTCAGTAGTTGCTGTCTCACAATATCATACTCGGGATTTAGATCAGCTAGGAACTCAAAAACCCCATTAGTCTCAACTTGCTTTCTACGAGTCTGTGCATCCTTCTGGCTTTCCCACTCAAGTGTTTCTAGGTGGTCAATTACATGCCACAGAGATTCAGTGTAGAGAAGTAAACCAAGACTGGTTTCTCTCCTTGCTTAAGGTTGTTAACCTCACATTTCAGTTCATAAGCCCTAGCAACATTTAGGGGTTGGGAGTAGGTCTCTTTCATGACATCCCAGATTTCCTTAGCTATTTTCGCCCACAAATAGTTCTTACTGATATGTGGCTGCATAGAGTTGAACAGCCATGTCATAACCAAATAGTTCTCCTGAACCCATTTGGTATAGGTTTG